CTTTTCCATATGTTTCTGGGGAAATTCTGATCTACAAAAAGAAATCTTTTACTTACTCTTGGTCACCTTTTAGGAAATTTAAAGTTCCAAACAATCCCTTTATGCAGATTTATTTGCTCATTTTTCCTTGGCAGATATTCCCAATAAATCCCTATTCACTATTGAATTGCAGTGACCTAGTGCATTCATGGCAAAAATCTGCCCAAATTCACAGGACTGTATTTAAAACCCATTTTAAACCTCAGGGCACTGATGAAGGAGACAATTTTTAACTCATTCTGCAAGAACTCAACTCATTATTTCCACTCTCTTGGTACAAAAAAAGCCAAAGTTTTTTTAAAAAAATAACACAACCTTCAAATATTTTAGGTTTTCACTTTAACAAACCCATCTCTCAACTTATATAGACACATATAGAAAAAAACTAATTATGTTTTCTTGACTTTTCCATAAAATCTCAGACTCAACTGGACATGGCTGACATCAGAGCCAATCATTTTAAATAAAAGTACTGGTGAACGTTTCCTTTTTCACTTGGAAAAGAACATTTAGCTTCTTCCTCCACTTAATTAAAAAAAACCCCTAATAAATGGCAATATCAGATTGTAGCAAACTGTCTAAAATAGGTCAAGATCTGCTGCAGAATGCTGACAAGGTTTTTAGACACAACCCTCAGCCTAAAATTGTCCCAGGCTCCCCATGTGGCAACACCGAGTGAGCACTGCAATTGTCAGCAGGACTAAAATCTCTCCTTTACATCACCATGTGAATGCAAAAGGACTGAGCCTTCACTGCCCAAAAAAGATTTTAATAATTCAAAATAACACTTGGCAGGCAGCTCAAGTGATATAAACACAAAGGTTCCCCTTCACCCCACATCCTTTACTGATTTCTTCCCCTGTACAAACTCTTATATTTATGAAAATTCAGGTAAAAAGTTTATTTGAGCATTATTTCAGCAGTGCTGCTCCCTCCAAAGGACTAAAGCCACCACCACGTCCTCACTGCTCTCCTGGTGCAAAAGTGCCACACAAGTCAGTGACTTTTTATTAATGAGAAAAACAAAATTAACTTTTTCATCCTCTTCATAAAAGGTTGAAGCACATGCTTTCCATTTGCAGTGAGTTCCTCCCAGAGACCTGCAGGTTCTAAACCCCAGAATATCTACACAGCACAATCCTGGGAACATAAACCTTTCACTTCTGTATTTTTTAACAAGTTACCACATATGGATGCACAATAAAATATAAGGAAATCCTAATGATGGCTGACATGTCTAAAATAAATGAATAATAATATTCCTTAACATGGAAACACAGAGCTTTATTCCATTTCAGTTCTCAGTTCTGTGTAATTTAAATGCATTTTGAATAACCTTGTTCAGCCAGCAGCCCTTACACACATTCACCTCCCTCTCTGCATGTTCTCTGTGTGTATATATATAAATATATAAAAATATATATGCACAGACACATGCAGAAATATTAAGAAATCAACAAAACTAGTGCAGAGTAAAACTGCAGCAAAACAAAAGGCAATATATTGTTGTCAAGTTTTCTGAGTTCTCAAAATAACCTCTTTATAACCAAGCACCATGAAG